AGTGATCTAATCCATAACAGTTAGCATAAAAATAGAGAACGCTTCACGAATTTGTGTGTCATCCTTGCACAGAGGTCATGCTAATCTTTTCTGTATCATTCCAATTTTAGCATATGTGTTGCCAAAGTGAGCACTTATATTATCTTTTAATTCTATTTTTCCATGAACATTTTGAAGTACCCTTATATATATATATATAGAGAGAGAGAGAGAGAGAGAGAGAGAGAGATACCATCCTGTCTTAGATTCTCATCTATACCACACCATTTAGGACTTGGAATGTTATTATTTCAAGTATTACTGAGTCAAAGTCTATTACCATTATAAGGTCTGCAACAGCATGATCTGAGTGAGGACCATGGGGACTCCCAGTGAGAGCCAGACCACCATACTATTTAGAATCTTCTGCTTCCTCCTTGCATTGGAGCAAGTAGTCTGGTTTGGATAGATGGCTTCTTTTTGTGGATAGTCAGAAGGTATCTCTCTCTGGTTCTGAGTTGGACATTCCTTCTTTTTGTTTCAATACATTAAGTTTCAGTCTACTTTTTGGAAACCCCCATGTCTGAGATCAAAAAGCAGGGTGGTAACATAATCAGACAGATAATAGTCCTAAACTGGGTTTGGTGCCTTGAATTGCAGAGCAGGAAGTAGGAGGACAAGGGCTATGGGCTATGATAGTAGTGTTAGCTAGTAGTCATACCCTTCCAATCACCCTGGAGAAAAAAGATCAATTTTTTTGTTTTAAAGGCATTTGTTAACCTCTCAAAATAACTTTGTGGTATGGTTAGCAGGAATATGGAAAACTGTTTTCACATTGATGACTCATATAATCACGTATGATTAGGAAACCCTAAGTAATCTCCAAAGAAGTTCCTAGAACTGATAAGTGAATTTGGCAAAGTGTCAGGATTACGGTCAATGTACAGAAATCATTGTATTTCTATATAACTAGTAACAAATAATTGAATTGAAATAAGAGTACTCGTAAGTGATGATTTTAGTTTAATATTGATTACAGATATTTCTACTTTATGAATAAGAACTTCGGGGTTATAAGATAAAATAAAGAGAAATAGTTTTCTCCTCAATTGAATGTAAAGGAAATAGTTGTTTTTTGATACACACAGAAATGCACTTGAGTTTTTGTTTTCTTGTATAATCTGAGTTTTGTGTTTTTTAATAGTGGCTTGCTGATCATTTAGATAGCTCTTAATGTAAGTATTCCATAGTTTTGATTGAACATGAATTTCAGCCTTTTTTAAAAAAAAAACTTCATTCAAAAACTGTATTTGGTGGTTGTTTCATCAGCACCCTGTTAGCCTGGATGGTGAAGCAGCAAGCCTACTGTAAATCCTAAGTGTGTGGTATAGATGAGGGTCTAAGACTTTAATAATATGTCATTTTATTCATAACACTCAATTCCAGGAAGGAAAAAAAATGACTCTGTTCTTGTAAAAGATATATTATGTGAGTATCATTCATTGTAAACCAAAAATGATACTGTATTATAGCATAGACAACAATGGGAACTGATTCTGAAAATGTGACCTGTCTGAGAAATAGAATAGTGAAAGTTATCAAAATGGAAAGAAGTGTTAATGTGAAATCTAGCCTTCTCAGAAATACTCTTTCCTGGCCTGTTTGGTTCTGCTTTTGTTGCTTGTCATGCATGAATGAAAGAGCTATACTCTCAGGGGAGCAGGAAAGCCTCTGTGTGGGTTGTTTATTTCCTTAATCCCTCCTCCTTTGTGATTTTTGATGTCAGATCTGAAATGGAAAGCCTGTAAATATAATGATTATCACATGGATAATCACCTGCATTAGGAACCGCCCTGCTTCTCTATTCCAACCCTAGCTGTTCTCCACATGTCACATCCACTCTGCGATTGGATTTTAACCTGACTGCTTCATTAGATTTGTGAAACTCAGTACAAGGCGCCCTGGGGCAGCACAGATGGGGACTTGCTTGTTTTCTTTTCTCACTTTTACTGTGAAGGCATACTAAAAAGTCCTTTTCAATTTAGTGGGAGCAGCTCACTTGGAATTACCCCTGATATTTGGAACCTGCTGCCTAACTCTTCTGCCCACTGAATGCCTTTTCTTTCAGTCCTTCCTTGCAGTGAATCTGAGAACTAAAATTCTGCTTAAAATTCTTGCTGGGTCAAACTGTTCCCCTGTGTTGTTTTGTTTGTTTTGCTGAGAGGGAAAAATAAATGTTGTTCCATCATTGTATCTACAAACACCTTCAGATCAGAGGTTAGCTGTGGGAAAGTCTGCAGAGATGTCAGCCAGCTGCCTTTTCAAATGGAGTGACTTGGGGCACCAGCCCAAGATCAAAGGAAGGTGGGAGGAAGTCAGAAGATAAGATCATTTTTAAGCCACGGAACAAGTGCTTAGCTTTTCTAGTGATAGGGCACTGCTCAGCAAACCTGTGTGAGGGGGCACTCAGAAAATTAAGTTGACTTTTCTTAAATATGTTCCTTCCTCAGTCAGAAATGTGTTGGTACTTTGAACAGATTACAGATTTGGAAGTGTCCAAGGGCATGGTTTCCTTAAAAAATAAATGATTTAACATTTATATGTGTCTTCTTGCAGTTAGTCAGTTCTACTATACCATAACAGATCACAGTTAATTTCTTATTATATTTTTATGAGTAAAACTACACATTTTTAAAAAAAACAAAACACAATTTAACTACTATACGTGTGTTTGGAGTCTTTATGTTTTAGGGAAATTTTAACCCTACAGATTCTTCATTTTAATTTTGTGTTAGAGTCTTCTGGGGTTCTTTCATGCCTCTAACAAAGTTCCATATGAATAAGTAGTTCTAGCAGAGCTTTTCAGTTGTCTTTTTCACATAAGGATCAGCTTGGTTAATTTTGACAGCTTGGAAAACACTACATTGATATCTTTTGAACCTTATCATTTTCCTTGATATCCTTGCCAGCAAATATTATTTACTATGTGATGTACAAATTTCTATTGTAAGTCAATTGTCAAAAGGCTAATTGCGCCAGTTGTCAAGATCATATTCTTTTTTTTTTTTTGTCTAATACCAACCAAGGCTAACTTGGTCAGCCTCATGTTTCTCTAGTGAATTGCCTAAGGAGTTGTATTTTTAGCTTATCACTTTCTGTTAATTTCAGTGTTCAGCTGTAATCATGCATTTTGACCTTTCCATACCCTCAAAATTGTTTTCTAAATCTATATGTTTAGTATATTGGACAATAAGTGCATACATGTTTTTTCCCCCTCAGTGTTTTTCTCAACATGTAGATAATATCCAAATTTGTTCTGGAGACACTGACTGTACTTTCTGCCTTACATGGTTTGATCCAGCAGTCGTTTTAGATGAGTTGGATCTGCTCACTACTCAGGCTCAAATCCCATCCTTCTATTAATATCTCTTGGCAAAGATAATTTTGGAGGAATGTAAGTTAAGATGTAGAGGCTCTTGACAGTTGTCTGCAATTTTTCTTATTTTCAAGAGGGAAGTAGAGTTGAAAAGTAATATTGCCTCCATTTTCTATCAGTCCTAAAATTAAATATATGCACAAAGCAAAGAGTAAAGAAAGGGAAAGGAGTTGGTTACACAGATGTGTTTTTGTCATTTGATAATCTGTTAAAAGGACATTAGCATATATAAAAAAGTTCATTAGATTGTGCTCTTTATTTAAAATATAGAGAAATTTTGCACATTATTTTTTAACCATATATGTATTCTTAATGCTCAACTTTTGTTATCCTGTTATTGTTTATTAAAGGGAAATTGGGAGTTTTTTGGACTGTTTATTATAAAAATTTTCAGACAGACAAAAAAGTGTGGATAGTGGACCTGCACATACCACATACACCTAGATTTAACTGTTGTTAACATTTTGCCATTTTTGCTTCACTTTAACTTTTTTTCTGAGGTATTCTAAAGTAAATTACATATATCATAACATTTTATTCCGAAATACTTTAGGATACATCTCTGAAAATTAAGGACATTTTCCTTATCAAACTGATAATTCCTAATATTATCTAATTCCCATTTCATATTCAGATTTCTCCAGTTATACCAGAAATGTCTTTTGTGGCTGGTTTGTTCAAAACAGGATCCAATTAAGTTTCGTACTTGCTCTGGTTATTTTTCTCTCCCCACTTTATACACTGACTTGTTAGAGAATAAGCTTTCTCTGTAGAACATTCTACATTGTGGACTTGTCCAGCTGCTTTCTCAGTGTATCCTTTAACTCATCCCTCTGACCTCTGTTTCTTGTAGACTGCAAGTTATTGGACTAAAGTTTTGATTAAATCATGTTAAAATGTTTGTTCAGAACACTTTATTGGTGATGCTTTGAACTTCATACTGCGTTATAACAGAAGGCACAAAATATTTGGTTATCCCACTGTAAGTGACGATAAGTGACAGCATCAGTCACTGGGTTAAAGCAATGACAGCTTGATCCTTCTATTATAAAGTTACGCTTTGCTCCCCATGACCAGCATATAATCTCTGGTACTTTGATTCCTTGGAAATACCCCATTCCCAATGAATGTCACATCCATTGATGATCTTTGTCTGCATAAATTTCATTTTGGGGACTGCAAAATTGTAATTTTTCTTAATCTATACATTTATTAACAGGCATTCTTCTCTATGGGAGGGCTTTCTGAGAAGTATTATTTTAATTAAAAACATAACCACCAGCATGTTTCTTAGGTTTCATATGATTGTCTTTCTTTGCTGAGGTCAGAACACCTGAACTCACTGGCAGCTAAAGTAAAAACATACACTACGTCTTCTTTATTCCAACTTGTGAAGTGTGTTGACATTATGCTGCCCGTTTTTTTTATGCCAAAGGAAAAAAGAAATCTTTTTTGGTGTAAGAATAAAAATTGAACTATGTGGGTATATTGAGATAATTGTGTAAAAAGAAGACTGAATGAGTTTCAAAATGGATTATTTCTTCATTACCTAGCACTTTATAATTAACTGTTTTTTTTTTTCCAGGAAGCTGCCACTTTTGCTAGAGAGCAAGGCTTTGAGGTGAGTTAACCCACAATTGCACACTAAACAGATCCTAAAGGTTTTTTCTAGCTGATAATGAAGTTCTTTTGGACAGTGATTGATGTGCTATTATACTCTCAGAGCCTCGCAGCAGTTGCCATGGAAACTTGGCAGTCGTCATGGTTTCTTTGTTCTGCCAGCACAGTGTTATGACGCACTCTGCTAGGTCTGCACCCAACATCGCCTACAGATGTTATTTATTGAATTTTGAAAAGCCTCTTGGGAAGCCAAGAGGTTGGGCACGGTTTCAAGCTGCCTCTGCAGATATGGGGCCTGTCAGTTTGCTCAGTTAAAAAGCTACCTCATTAGCTGCATTACATTTCATAAGGATTCACTGCTAAAGCAGTAGTGAAGCAAGACTAAATAGTGAAATATAATGTCGTTTAAATAATTTCAGCCCTATCACATGTAGATTATTATTATGCAAATTAATTTCCAAAGGTTGTACCTAACAGTTGTTATGAACTGATTAATTTAAATCCTGCTCATATAAACTTCCTGATGGATTTTGGTTTTGTTTTTTTTTTTTTTTGGATAGCATAAATTTTCTGAAACAAAATATCAATAATTGAATTTAATTTCCAGGTCCTGATTCTGTTTTCCTGATAGCAGTATTATCCTGCCAAGATTCAAAACTCCATGTGGTTGTTGTTAGCAAAATTAAGATAACAGTCAAGACCATGTTTTTATCTATATAACATCCATCTTTCATTTGATTGTTAGAAAACACTGACTTTAATCTGAACTCAGGTTAATTGACAGAGAATTAACTGAGTTTATGTCTCTTATGACTATAATATTTATTGAACCAGAACTATGTAGAATGCTGTGTTCTATACATGAACTTGAAATGTTGCATGATAGTAAATTTTTAACAATTTAACCTAACTAAAGCTGGAATATAGGAACTCTCTCCTTATTTGCATACTTATTATGGTCTACCATCTAGAGAAGCTGTGAGCATTAATTATTATCAGTAAGCTCATTTTAAACTCTTTAGAGAAAGGTCTTGTATGAATTTGTGATGGAACTGTTATTTAAATGTACTAAAGGCTAATTTATTATTGAACAACAGTGTAATACACATGCATGTTATCCATGTCATAGGACCTAACAAACTAGACTTAGAGCTTCCTCTTCATAGAGGAAGATAAGAGCATGTGATATAAGTATACTACTCTCAAGATCCTGTGAAAGAACTGCTTGAGGGTAGGAAACTCTACCTCATAATACCCAATCCGTGGGAACTGTTACAGTTTCTTCAGAGTTTACTTTTTTGTTTTACTATATTTTAGTGAATATTATAGGATTGAGTCACATGTAGAAAAGGGATTTCTTGAGTTTTGCGTATTTTCCTAATTTAAGTTTCATTTTGTAATTTCCCAAACCGACAATTGGTATACAGAACAAAATGTAATCAGGGGAATATTCCATTTAAAAGTTAAATGTTTTGATCATGAGAATATAAATAAATGTTTTCATTTTTTAAAGTTTTACTGATGTTAAGTTTTAATATTAAAAATTGATGTTCTCTGTCGATACATCAGAATTCTCTACAGATAAAAGCTTATAGCATGTAAATTTGTATCCTGTCAGTTTACTGTGTTACCAAAAAAATGCATTTTGGTTCTAAAAATAATCAGTGTTGTAGGTACTTAGAAATATAACAAGTTACGTAACAAATTACCAGGATACTGTAATACTTAGATAATGTTTTTAATAGTTTATAAAGCCTGACTAATTCATACTTTTATTGCCCCCTTGAGCTATTTGCTTTGAGTGCCTGGTTTACACTCAGTCTTAGGAACAAATTACGTTTTCTATTTTTTAATAACTATTATATTAACCTTTCCAATAGTTCTAACTTACTGATGCCAGAATTGGTGGGGTTTTTTGCCATAAATCTGCCATAATTGATTATAGCTTGTAAGCAAAATGATGATGATGATAATCGCATACCTTATTACCTCCCAACGTAGCAAAACTTCTGTGTCTGCGATGTTGACAGTGATAGGTTGGATTGGATAAAACACATAATGTCTTAATGTGTCCCTTCAAGGGTTCCTTAAAGCATTAGGAGCATTGCAGGATATATATGAACCATGACTAGAATAACATCAAGTAAGCATTGCTAATAAAATAAAATCCAAGAATAGAGCCCTATCTAGAGAAATTAAATGATTTCATGATGTCATTAAAGTTCCCTTAGTCCTTTAGACAGAAATAAAAAAGTACAGGTTTGGAACTTGGGATTCTTAAGGAATAAAACAAGAATAAGTCACTTTATCTTAACAGTTTTCTGTCTGTGGAAGTGTGTTAATGCTCTCAAGTCTAGTGTGACAAACTAGACAAAAATCTGCATTTTATCTCTCCTAACTTTAAAGTTGGCTCTAAATTTGGAGCATGAATGAGAAGAGAGAAATGAAAAGATTAAAAGAAAGGAAAGGTGAGCATTTTCTTCTTCCTTCCAGCACTGCTGTCCTATCCTCATCTCCTATTATAAATCCCAATCAGTTCTCAGACCACTGAGTCTTGCCACTGGTGATCTGTCTGCTGACAGACCAATCCAAATGCCTCTAAAAATAGCCGGTATTTATTCATCAGGAAATACCTTCTGTGGCATTGTTTATGATATTCTGGTTAGCTTCTCTGTGAATTTTAGATAATCTTTATTTTTTTAAAAAATCTTTAATCTTAAAATGAATTGGGCAGTTTTCAGTGAGAAGCAGCAGCTTGAGAGTGTGGCATTGTTTATGATATTCTGGTTAGCTTCTCTGTGAATTTTAGATAATCTTTATTTTTTAAAAAAAATCTTTAATCTTAAAATGAATTGGGCAGTTTTCAGTGAGAAGCAGCAGCTTGAGAGGGTACTGGAGAATGAGATAAAAACTGAAGCTGAGCAGAGCACAAAGCAGAAGAGGATTTTATATATATATATATATAGGTGATGGAAAATTGCACAGTTCCTGATTTAAATGACAGAACTACTAAGAATTTAAAATGAAAATTCTTTGGATGAAAAGTTTCATAAGGCCTTTATTATTCTAGAAAATCAGTTCAGGCTGTAATGTGTTTTTAAATCTACCTTATCTTGAGCTGAATCAATTAAAGTTTCGTATTTTTAGAACCTAAATAAAAATAAGGTGCTTAAAAGCATGTTTCATTATGAAGACTTTTTAAAACTATTGAAAATTGATTTATATTAAAGAAAATATCTCCAAAATCTAAGTATAGAAATCCTCTGTATTTTTATTATTTCTGCAACAGAGTATATGCCAAATGATGAAGGGAATTCATACCTTCTCTATTGGGTCATTTATTCAGTTTTACTCCAAGCAACGAATTTTAATTTTCTTATTTTAGATGTAATACTTTTGCCCATAAAATGATGAAGGGAATTCATACCTTCTCTATTGGGTCATTTATTCAGTTTTACTCCAAGCAACAAATTTTAATTTTCTTATTTTAGATGTAATACTTTTGCCCATAAAGGAAACAAAGCAATCCTTTTCCCTTGTCCTACTTCCTTCATAGCCACTGACTCTACCCAAAGGATGCCAGGCTTGTCGTCATCCTCTGACCAGTGAAGACCCTATATCATCTGTGGTTTTTTGGTTTTTTGTGGCTTTTTTAGATTTTTTTGCCTTTTTAAACTTTTTTTATTGTGGTAAAATATATGTAACACAAGGATTGCCATTTTAAGCATTTTTAATCATACAGTTGCTTGGAATTAATCACATTCACAACACTGTATAACCACCATCTCCAACTATTTCTAAAACTTTTTTGTCATCTTAAACATAGCCTACCCATTAAGCAATAATTTATTATTCCTTCTCGCCAGTTTCTGGTAACCTCTTATATACTTCTGTCTCTGACTTTTCTTTTTTTAATTTTTTCTTAATTGACCCATGATAATTGTATGTATTTATGGAGTACAATGTGATATTTGTGTACATTTATACAGTGTGCAATGATCATATCACGGTATTTAGCATATTAATTACCTCAAACATTTGTCACTTCTTTGTGTTGGGAACATTCAACATCCTCTCTACTAGCTACTCGAAGCTGTACAATAATTTGTTGTTGTAATGTGTTGTGTTCTGTATTGCTGTAGAGCCCTAGATCTTATTCTTCCCATCTCTCTACAGTTTGGTATTCATTGACCACTCACTCCCCGTCCCCCCCTTATTAGTCTCTAGTAACCACTATTCTAGTACCCCTAGATCATCTTTATACCACTGAGAGGGAAAAGTATAGACTTGTGCTAGCCAATACAGCGTCCATTAGCCACATGTGGCTACTTAAATTAAGATTAATGAAAATTAAATAAAATTTAAAATCCAGTCCCTCAGTCATATGAGGCACATTTCAAGTGCCCTACAGCCTATGTAGCTAATGACTACTTTATTGGACTGTGCAGATTCAGAACATCTACATTATCACAGAAAGTTCCATTAATCAGCACTTGGTAGAAAGTCCACAGAAAGTATTCAGTATTCGATTCCCAAAGAATTCTCTAAAGTGATTCTAAGACTCCTGTGTCCTTCACAAATATAAAGAATGCAAAGAATGATTACCCAGAGTTTCAGAGTTTCTGAAAAGAAGACACTAAGTCAGGTCCTGCTGGCTAAGAGAGTGCAATGCTGCTTTCCTAGGTTCCTGAATCCCAAAAGAGGAAAATTTTAAAACAGTTAGATTAAGGGAAAGAGTTAAGATAGTCTTCTAATTCTCTTCATTTATTCATTTATTCATTCAGCAAATATTTACTGAGCACTTACTATGTACCTAACACTCTCATAGACCGTGAAGGCAAGGTAGAAATGACCAGAGAGTATATTGTGAAAGAGAATGTGGAAGGGGTTCCTATTTTAGATACAGTGGCCATGGAGTGACTCTAAGTAAAACCTAAAAAATACAAATATCTAGCAATGACAGAAAAAAAGCCAAAAAAAAAATCAGGGAAGCAAATTTCAAACAGAGTGAACAGGAACACAAAGGCCACAAGAAAGAGCATAATGTACTATGTCCTTCAGGAACAGAAAGCCAGTGTGACTGGAATGGATGAGTGAGGAAGAGGGTAACATGAGATCAGGCTGGCAAACACCCTAACTCTCTGGAAAACAAGACAGAAAATAGTGTGGTTAAGCGAGACAACGTGTGGGAACACCACAAGTGGTATTCTACAGAAGTAGGTAGGTTGTCACAAGATCATTTAACATTTGTATATCAGGCTGGCAAACACCCTAACTCTCTGGAAAACAAGACAGAAAATAGTGTGGTTAAGCGAGGCAACGTGTGGGAACACCACAAGTGGTATTCTACAGAAGTAGGTAGGTTGTCACAAGATCATTTAACATTTGTATCACCGGGTTGTTAAAAATACAATGTCTTCTTTAATTTAGAAACAATGCTAAATTTAAGGTGTGTGAATGCCAATGACATAAAAAAAAAAGCATAATTTTACATTTATAAATGCTTTACAGTTTATAAAACCTTTTCCAACATATCATTAATACATTTAATGCTCTCACAAGCTTTGAAAGGTACATAGGGTAGGTATTGCCATATCAGTTCAACAGATAAAAAGTAGGCTATATGACTTGTTCAAGGTTAGTTACATAGCTAATACATAATGGAGCCAGAATCAGAGCTCAGCTCTGTTAAGTTTGGTATTCTTTACTAAAAACTACACTGCTTTCTCTCTTACATTCTAACATATTAGTAGAGGAGATTAGATTTCAAAATGATCTTGAAAAAATGAGAAATATCTTGAAACTCAAAAATTGAAGTTCACTGGGGTAAAATACAAGCCAGAATAATTAAGAAAAATAGCAACCTTAAATGCAAGATCAGAAATGACTTGAGAATGTGGCAGAAAAATGATTTAGGATAAACATGCTGTAGTTTTGTGATAAAGCAACAAAAAGCACATTGCCAGAATTCATAGAAGTAATATAATTTGGGGATAGCACAGAATAGTGGTTATGATCCCTGTAGTCAGACTTTGTGGGTGCTAGTATTGGCTCCACTACTTATATTTATGACATTAGGCAAGTTACTTAACCTCTCTGTGACTTAGTTTCTTCATCTATAAAATGTGATATAGTAATAGTACCTACTGCCTCGAGTAGTTAAGATTTAATGAGCACTTTAGAGCTATATACATGGCTCATAGCTCAATTATATGAGCTTTCTTCCACTTCTTTCCCTTTTCATCTTTGTCCTCCCTTATTAGATACTATAATTGAATTCTCAATACTCAAAACTCTTGAGGTCCTTCGTAGAGATTTTGGAGCAACCTAAGGATGTGACAGTTTTAGGGAGCATTAAAATGAGAGTCATTAAAGGAAATAAGTTCTTAGAATGTGCTAAATATTGCATTAAGCTTTTGCACTTACCCTATCCTCTTTCATCCTCACAAAAACTAGTTTTACCTTTTTATTTTAAAATAATTTCAGTTTTGGGGTGGCTGGTTAGCTCAGTATGTTAGAGCATGGTGTTGATAAGAGTGTTCAATCTCTGTTATCAGCCAGCTGCCAAAAAAATAAAATAACTTTAGTCTTAGAAAAAGTGCAAGGGCCGGCCCGGTGGCGCACTGCTGCAGTGCGCCGCTTGGGAGCGCAGCGGCGCTCCCACCAGGGGTTAGGATCCCACGTGCAGACTGGTTCCCGCTCACTGGCTGAGCGGGGGGCGGGCGCAGCACCAGGGGTTGCTATCCCGTTGCCGGTCCCGGTCCGGTGCGGGCGTGACACTGAGGGTTGCAGTCCGTTGCCAGACACGAAAAAAGACAAAAAGGAAAAAAAAGAAAAGAAAAGAAAAAGTGCAAAAATAGTACCGAATTCCCACATACTCTTTACCCAACTTTCCCTAATGTCAATGTCTTACATAACCGAAGTATAAGAATCAAAACCAGGAAATTAACATCGGTACAATACCAATGACTGAACAACAGGCTTTAGCCTGATTTTACTAGTTTTTCCTCTGGAATTTCCTTTTTCTGTTCAAGAATCTAATCCAGTAACCTACATTGCACTTATTTGTCGTGTCTCCTTAGTCTCTTCCAATCCACTTTCTCCTTGGTGTTCATGACCTTGATACTTTTGAAGAGTGTTGGTCAGTCATTTTATAGAATTCCTCTCAGTTGGAGTTTGTCTGATGTTTTCTCATGATTAAATTAAGGTTATGCAGTTTTGGCAGGAAAACCACAGAAATGATTTGCCCTTCTCAGTGCATCATAGCAGGGAGGTCCATGATGTGACAGTGTTTTACTGCTGGTGATGTTCGCCTGATCACTGCGTTAAAGTAGTGTTTGCCAGTTTATCTTCTGTAAATTTACTACTTTCCCATTGTAATTAATGAATATCTTGGAGGAGATACCTTGGAGCTATGCAAATATCCCATTTCATCCACTAATTTTAGCATGACTAAATTGATCACTGGGTTAAGGTGATGTCTGTCAGTTTTCTCCACTGTAACATTACTATTTTTCCTTTCGTAATGAATAAGTATCTTAGGAGGAGATACTTTGAGACTATGTAAATATTCTATTTTTCTTCAAACAATTGCCTGCTAATTGTAGCATACTTTGCTCCCAACACCGATTACTGTGGATATTTTCTTAGTTTTATAGATGAGGAAATGGAGCCTTAGAGAGGTTTATTAACCTGCTCGAGGTCACACAAATAGTAAGTGCAGGTCTGTCATATTCTAAAGTTCCTTGTCATTTCAGCATTCTGTTAAATTGTGTGAGCTTAAGTATAAGGGAGAAGAACTGATGTGGAGATGGGGGAAGGGACATACTGTAGAACTAGAAATTTGTAGCTTTGGGAAGATAAAATTGAAGTTTTGAGAAAAGTTTTTATGCTACTAGATGGGAATCAACTATTGTAGGCAAGCGATGGCTTCTGAAGGTGTGTGAGAAATTTAGATTAGGTGCGTACCGACAGTGATCCCAGAATGAGTGACAAAGGGATTTTGCATGAACCGTGGATGTGGGTACAAATGGAATAAAGTATACATAAATCTGGAAAGACTTATGTTTTGTATTTGGAAAGTTTATTTCAACCTTTAATTGCCATTTTTATAAGATTTGAGACATAAGGAAGGTATCCTTGATTAAATTACCAAAACTCCCGTTAACAGGGTTAGTAAGTAGAAAGCAACCATGGAATCTTACTCTTAATTTATTCCTTATACCACATTGAAGAAAGACTTCCTTTTAAAAAACACTTAATACACGCATAAGATTCGGCTTCCAAGATGATGAAGTGCATCTGTAGTAAAATATATTTTTGCTAAGGAGGTTGGCAGAATATATGTGTCATTTTAATTAAATGCGTACATTTATTTAAGAAAGGGAAGACATTGTTATTATATGGCATTTTTTGGTTCTTTCAGCTGTTACTAGTCATTTCTAATAATCTGTTTCCAAAAACGTAGGGAATTTCTTTTCTCATCTTATCAAAGTTCAGGCTTAGTTCTATTCTAAAATAAGCAACTGAAAGCAAAGTAGTCAGCATTTTTGAAAGGTCAGCAGCATTGTCCTACCACAAGTGGCTATTCTTTTCAGAAACAACAGTCCTCTGGAAATCTTCGTGTTAAGTGTATTAGAAGTTTAGCTTCATATATTATCTGGAATTTCTTAAGTATTTAGTGAACAAACAACATACAAATATTTCATTATAGATTTCATTATAGATTCATTATAGCTGATACCTTTTAAAATGTCATAGTTTCTGATGTTGTTTGTAACCTTATGACTTGTCTGCTTTGCTTGCCTAAATTTTTCTCTCCTATATATCTTTTATTTATTCCACTGAGAATATTTCCCCTCTGGTATGTGTTTCTTTCTCTGTAATTATTTGAAGCTTTGCATAGTGATAGAGTAAACTACCAACAAAGCCCAAATCATGGACAGTTTTAAAGGCCCACTGAATGCAGACATGGTCTTTTAAATTATCTAAAATGGTTGAAAACGTGATTCTAAAAACTCTGCCATTAGCCCAAGAGTTAGATTTCAGGGGCCGGCCCGGTGGCGCACTCCTACAGTGCGCCGCTTGGGAAGCGCGGCGGCGCTCCTGCCGAGGGTTCGGATCCCACATACAGACCGGTTCCCGCTCACTGGCTGAGCGAGGTGCGGGGGCAACGCCGAGGGTTGCGATCCCGTTGCCGGTCCCGGTCTGGTACGGGCGCGACACTGAGGGTTGCGATCCGTTGCTGGTCATGAAAAAAGACAAAAAGGAAAAAAAAAAAGAGTTAGATTTCAGATCAGAACATTTATGATGTAAAATTTTATGGCCTTTGTGGTGTGAAAAACATCGGGGTCTGGAAAATTAATTTGTTATTTTTTTAACTTAATCTTTTTTTAAAGAAAATTAAGTCTTGGAGTTAGTATTTCTTTCCCTCATTTCAGTCCTTTGAAAAATTCGGCATTATAGCAACTATATTATTTCCAAAGTCAGCATAATTATGCTCTGTAAATCTCTAAAATAATTAAATATTCCTCTTTTTTAAAAGTCCTCTTAAATTGGAAATTTGAAAGCTGACTGGATATTTTGTTTTTTAAATATATTTGTTGATATTAAGGAATTATTTTTAATTTTTAAAAGTATGATCCTAGTTATGTTTAAGTCATTAGCTTTTAGAGATATGTACTAAAACATTTCTAGATGAAATTATATAGTACTTGAGGTTTGCTTCAGAACGATATGAAAGGCAGGTAGGTGAGGGTAGAGATGAAATAAGATTTCTCATCAATTTAAAATTTTTGCAGACTAATGATAGGTTTCTTGGAAGTTATCGTACTAGTATGTTTACTCTTGTATATAGTTACAATTTTTTAAAAATAACTCTTCACAGATGTTCACGTCTCTCTTATTTTGATCAGAAGCTAAATTGTTAAACTACTGGTAAAGTTTTGGTTTACTGTAATGGTTCTGAGAATTTTTTCCTCCTTTCTATTAATAGACTGAAGACATTAAAGAGATAGCCAAAAAGGCACAAGCCCTGCCAAAGATGAACTCAAAGAGGCAGCGGGTCGTGGTCTTCACCCAAGGGAGATATGACACTATAATGGCTACAGGTAAATGTGGGAACTGTGTGAGAAATCCTGTGTTACGGAGATTCATCATTTACAACAAAATTCTATATTCTTTCTATTATAAAGTATTCAAAGCAATGTACCTTTTATAGTTTTCTATTTTAATAAGCTTTCCTACCCTCTATCTTAGTAGAAAAGATTTCATTTTCAAGAAGATAATTTTTTTTTTTTGTCCTTTTTGAGACCGGCTGCACCGGCTTTCCTACCCTCTATCTTAGTAGAAAAGATTTCATTTTCAAGAAGATAATTTTTTTTTTTGTCCTTTTTGAGACCGGCTGCACCGCACGCTCAGCCAGTGAGCACTGTGAGTGCACTGGTCATCCCTATATAGGATCCGAACCCACGGCGGGAGCGCTGCTGCACTCCCAGCGCCGCGCTCTCCCGAGTGCACCACGGGCTCAGCCCAAGAAGATAATTTATTAAAAGTCAGTTGAATGAAACTACTTTGATATAGTTTATTTACTTTGATATTTTCAAGATCTTGACAGTCTAGAAATGTCTTTCCTGAAAAAAAGAATACATTTGACTTAAAAAATACCTGCTCTAGGACAGGCTGTTAGCTCAGCTGGTCAGAGCACAGTGTTATAATACCAAGGCCAGGGGTTCAGATCCCAGTACCAGCCAGCCACCGAAACCAAAAACAAAACAAAGAAAGAAACAAAAAAATACTTGCTCTAGAATAAAATAAATTTATTCAAGTATAAATAAAATCCAGAAATTAGTTACTTCCTCAGTTTTTCTTCAAGAAGAAACTATCACTTCTGTTTTTACTCAGCCATCTATTTCATAGCACTCATAGAAATACAATAGGAATTCCATTTAGTAAACAAACATGTTATTGATTAAAATGTTTAATATTACCAGTATGATGCTACCTACTATCAAAACCAAAACACAAACCTTTTAATTCTGTTTGAACCATACAATTAGTTAATTAAATAATTATTGTAAATAGTAGTAATTGTTACCTTTGTGTTTGTTCAGTACTCTGTTGAACACCAAAAGATAAGATATGAGACTTAAAGATCTAACTGGGAAATAAAATTAATATACACAAAATATGAGTACAAAGTAAAGTATAATTATACTTATTTATTGGTGTAAACTGTATGGATTATATCAACTCAGAGAAGGAAGTCAATAAAGCTTGAAGAAAGATATAGTGAATATGAGGTAAATTTTTGTTGATTTAAATATAAAGCCTGGAAAGGGGCAAAGATGAAAATCTTCTCAAATTTGGGGACAAAGGAACCCTAGAAATAATTTATTACAACTTCCTTATTTTAAAATTGCCAAAACAATTTTCAGAGATTTGCTTCTAAAAAAACCTGTTTCAGAATAATTCAGTGAAAGGTAGATAGTGAAGTGGCAATATGGATTAAATGGTCATTAGTTAATTGTTGAAGCCAGGCGAGGGTCATATGGAGGGTCAGTACATCATTATCTCTGAAATTTTCCATAATTAAAATTTTTAGAAAAGAAAGATAGGAAAGTAAAAAATAATTTTTAACACAAGATTCAGAGATAGTAAGTGGCTTTCCCAATATACATTGATATCCTTTCTAAGCACTGATTTCTAGAAGGATCTAAAGCAAAGAGAGCAGTACAGTCAGAGAGGATCATGTAAGCAAAGGCATCAGGTACTATGTATCTTTGGGAAAGTAAAAAATAATTTTTAACACAAGATTCAGAGATAGTAAGTGGCTTTCCCAATATACGTTGATATCCTTTCTAAGCACTGATTTCTAGAAGGATCTAAAGCAAAGAGAGCAGTACAGTCAGAGAGGATCATGTAAGCAAAGGCATCAGGTACCATGTATCTTTGTTTGTTTGTTTGTTTGTTTGTCCTTTTTGAGACCGGCCGCACCACGCTCAGCCAGTGAGCGCTGTGAGCTAACCGGTCATCCCTATATAGGATCCGGGTGCGGGAGCGCTGCTGCACTCCCAGCACTGCACTCTCCCGAGTGCGCCATGGGCTCGGCCCGTACTATGTATCTTTTATTGTTGTGGCAGGAAAAACCACACTAATTTGTACAAGAGAGAAGAGAAATAAACCATAAGAGAATATCCCTGCATTGATACAAACTGTTGGAATTGCTGCCTTCCCATATAGTACGCGGCCTATTCCTGTCTTAGCAATGAACAATTTAGAAAAGTGAAAATCACTCAGGCTTCTTATCTTATGGGAACTGTAATACTACCTTCAGGTTCATAAAATGTTATTTAGTTGCTCTTTATGGAGACATTCATTTTAAGATATAATAATTCCAGATATACATATTGTACAAGTGCCTTCCTCATTGTGAATTTGCACAATTTTCTCAAAATTGAAAATTAGCCTTCCCATCCTGTGAATGAATTTCCTTGCAAACTCATTTTGTTCTTTATTAAATCTATTAAACCATTCTTAGGAATGCTTACATGCAGGAATTTATTTGAGGAAAGACACTGGCTAATCTTTGCTGTCCCTGCCATATGAAAATGAACTTAAATTAGAAGATGCACTATATCTGCAATGCATGATAAATACAAGATGGATAGAGAATCTGTTCAGTGGTGTCAGCTACAAAAGCAAACATGATAAATGTTAATGCAGTTTTGAGCCCTGGGATAAGCTATTCAGTGCACAAGCATAGCTGAATCTCTTTGCTATGTTGTTATTCATGGCAGCCAAATAAATGTCAATAATAAAAGAGAATTAAAGATTTTCATTTCCCAAAGGCAGTCCTCTAATACAGCTTGATCTTTCATTTCATTTGTAATTCGTTCTCGTGTCAGGATGCAATCATTTGCCAGGCTCTGGGTGTCATGTTAAGTCATTTAATAATGATTAAGAACATAAAAATGCTTGGCCTGTGGGGCAATTCACAGAAGAGTTGCCAATTTGTTATTGTTTTCCCTCCTTTCCTCTTGAATATGGATCAGCTTTTTTCCACCTCCTAGCATTGAAATACTAATGGAAGATAGGGAGGGAAAGTGTTCTTTAATTTACCATAAGTGACATTCCAGAATGGCACAAGGCAGTGCTAACACACTTATTAAAACACTAATTAGGAATCATTGTGCCTTAAACCTCACACTGTGGAATATTTTTAAATGATCACACTGTTAAGTTTGTAGCATTTAGCAATAATGTAACAAAATCAGTTTCTTTGGTATTTTATTCTAGAGACCTATCTCCTTTTGAGATATGATATCTATAAACCACTTTCTCTTACTTGATAAATTTAATTTCTTAAATTCTTCTTATTTACATTGCCTATAAATCTAAAGTCTTTTCCACTCACCCTGCTTTATTGGTCATTCTTCTTTCAGATTGGATTTCCATCCAGCCCATAGGTTCTGTCACATACCGATCATTGTTTCAGTGTTCGCAAGATAATTGAGTTCCAGAACAATTTTTGAGGGAGGGCTGGGCATTGGAGAATATTAAGAGTAACAGGCTAGGCAATTCCACATCTGGGGATATGTCCAAAATAATTGAAAGCAGGATCTTGAACAGATATGTTCACGTGTTTATAGCAGCAATATTCACAATAGCCAAAAGGTGGAAGCAGCCCAGATGTTCATCAACAGATGAATGCCTAAACAAAATGTGACATATACATACAATGGAATATTATTCAGCCTTTAAAAGAAGGAAATTCTGACACATGCTATGACATGGAAGAACTTCGAAAACATTATGCTAATGAAACAAGCCAGACACAAAAGAGTAAATATTGTATGATTCCACTTACGTGAGATACTTAGAGTAGTCAAATTCATAGAGACAGAAAGTAGGATGGAGGTAGTCAGGGGCTGGGGGAGGAATGAATGGGGCGTTATTGTTTAATGGGTACAGAGTTTCAGTTTTGCAAGATGAAAAAACATGAAGATGGATGGCGGTGGTGGTTGCATAACAGTATGAATGTACTTACTGGTACTGAGCTGCACACTCAAGAACGGTTAAAATGGTATATTTTATGTTATGTATATTTTACCCCCAATTAAAAAAATAAATATATCAAACAACAAACAAAGAAAAAGGACTAGGAGGCTGGGGATGAAGGCAGAAAAGATGACTGTCCATTTTGGTTCTTTTAATAAATGTTGAATGAACCTGTTTAGTAACATGGCAGTTAGGTCAAAGAAATCATTTTGTGTCTAAAATAAACACAGACAAACAAAGACTAACGGTGTTCCTTACCTACTGGACAGCACCTACCAATGAGGTCTTCATTCGTTATTGAGGATTGTATATATTGATATATTGAGGATTGTAGTGAAAAAATTATAATATATATGTATGTATATACAAGCATACTTCAGAAAGTTCATGGAAAGATTCATATTATCTTTTAATTCTATTTTTCCATGAACTTTTTGTAAGTAACCTTGTATATATAGAGAAAGAGCTTCATAGAAAGTTTAAATTTGTCTAAGTTTTGGTACTAAATATATGACTGAAAATTGGAAAAAGCAATACAATATTATCTTTTAATTCTATTTTTCCATGAACTTTTTGTAAGTAACCTTGTATATATAGAGAGAGAGCTTCATAGAAAGTTTAAATTTGTCTAAGTTTTGGTACTAAATATATGACTGAAAATTGGAAAAAGCAATACAAGTTTTGTTGTAAATTGGAAATAATTCATCTCACACAGTAGCTCTTTTGAAACAATGAAATAGGTCTACTGCAGACGAAATCATAAGACTTTTTTTCGGAATACTTTTCAGAATTCTTTCTGGGCTGTTTGAGTTGTAATTTTGTGGAAAGGGAGAAGATATATTATTAGGTCAGAGATTTTCAACTGGAAGACCGGTGCTGTCACATGAATATCACTTAGTAAGTTTTTGGTAGATATAGCCCTGCCTTCTTAAAAGCACCTTCCCTTCAATCTGATGCTACATCCCTGTGAGGAGTATTAAAATATGTATCTTTAGGGCCGGCCTGGTGGCACACTCGGTAGAGTGCAGCGCTTGGGAGTGCGGTGGCGCTC